CTGTCTTTGGTGAATCTTCTCACCCCCCCACCCCCACACCTCTGGCATACACCCCAGTTCTTGTATACATAAATAAATAAATCTTTAAAAAAAAAATACAGAGCATTTTGGTCCACCCAGGGAGTTCTGAGACTCTAATGTGAAGTATGTGGAGGGTAGATGATACGTGGGGAGAGCTGACCCAGAGAAAATGTTTCATGAAGAGAAAAATGCGTCATCTCTGACATAGGTACCTCAGGTCAGTGGCTTTGTCAGCTTTTTTGTCTGACTATTGATACGAGGAAAGGAAGCCCAGATCTCCGCTCACTCCTGAGAAGGGTGGCAGGGGTCCTGGCTTAATGGGGTTGAGCACCAGGGTAGCAGAGAAGCAGGGTATTGCCTAACCAGGGTTTTCTGGTTTTCACAACAAACAAGATCAGATTAACTCAACAATAGGAAGATAACTTGACAAAGAAGGACTAGATTCCAGGGTCCCTATAATAGCTTCAGTTCTCAGCTTCCTTATGGCAGAACTTCTCAAAAGAACCGTCTCTAGGGCCTCCCGGATGGTGCAGCGGTTGAGCGCTGGGTTGCAAAGCTGCCCGCGGCCTCTGCAGCGCCGGTTCGATCCCCGGCTGCTCCCCGGCCACCGAGGAGGGTCCCACATGGTGCGCAGACCTCTCCTGCCGCCCGCTGCTCCCCTCAGCAGTGTGCTTCGGTCCTTCTGCCTGCTCTGCTCCCCACTCTGGCTCTGGTGAATTCTCTCACCCTCCCATGCTTCTGACTGTACCCCGTGCTTGTATAAATAAATAAAAAAAAAAAAGAACCGTCTCTTATCAGCACTGTCCTATCGAAATACAATGCAAGCCACATTATATCCACAAGGTGACTTGAGTTTTTCTAGCAACCAAAGTAACAAAATAAAGAACAGGTGAAATTCATTTTAATATATTTTATCTAATCCAATATATCCAAAATATTACTTTTATATGTAATCAGTATAAAACATTGTTGAGATTTTTTTATTTTTTCATATCGTCTTTGAGATCCAGTTTTACACTTAAAACACTTCTCAGTTCATACCAGCCACATTTCAAGTGTTTAGTAGACATGTGGCTTGGAGGCCACCGTTTTGAACAGCCAGGTCTCTATAACTCCAGCTCTGATTACTCTCCTCCCATCTCTTAATCCAATTGTCAGAATTTTACCCAGTTTGTTCTTGCCAAGGTGACCAGTAGCTTCTATGGGTCAGTTTTCCATTGACTTGACCCATCAGCATTTGATATGGTCCCTTATTGAAACTTTCTCCAGTTGGCTTCTGCAATTCCTCTCGGAATTTTCCTGCTATCTCACTGCCTGCTCTTTCCCAGGCTCCTTTGCTGGTTCCTAATCTTTCCTCCAAACTTTACAAATGTGGGTGTCCTGGGGTCATTCCTTGGACCCTTTCTTTATTCTTTCTTCCTTGGTGATCTACCCCACTCTCCTGACTTTAAAGATCATCTGACTGGCGATGGCAGTTGAGCCAAACCAACAGCCCAGACATCTCTCCTGGTTCCAGACTCTTATACTCAACATGCTCACTTGGACTTTTAATAGACATCTCAGATTCAACATGTCCAAACCCAAACTCCGAATTTTCCGCCCATCACCAAAGCTCCTAAATGGAAACTCCATCCTTCCCGTTGTTTAGGCCAAAAACTTGGTAGTAATTCTTGACTCCTCTCCAGTCCCCACACCCTATCCATCAGCAAACAAGTTCTGCCTTAAGAATGTATCCAGAATTTGACTCTTTCTCAGAGAGAATTTATTTATTTATTTATTTATTCATTCATTCATTCATTCGTTTGTTTGTTTGTTTGTTTATACAAGCACTGGGTACAGTCAGAAGCTCAGGAGGGTGAGAGAATTCACCAGAGCCAGAGCGGGGAGCAGAGCAGGCAGAAGGACCGAAGTACACTGCTGAGGGGAGCAGCGGGCAGCATGAGAGGTCTGCGCGCCATGTGGGACCCTCCTCCGGTGGCCGGGGAGCAGCCGGGGATCGAACTGGAGCTGCAGAGGCTGCGGGCAGCTTCGCAACCCAGCGCTCAACCGCTGCACCACCGGGGAGGCCCACTCTCAGAGAGAATTTAAAAGTAAGTCGGATCATGTCCTCCTGCTTAAACTCTGGTGGTTCCCATCTCAGAGAGGGTGAGATCCCAAGTCCCTTCCGTGGCCTCCAAGGGTCCCTAGGCGCTGGCCTCCTCCTCTCTCCTGGCCTCCTTTCCTTCTACTCATGCTGCTCTAGCTAGCTACACTGACCTCCTTGCTCTTTCTCCTTCTACGCTCTTGCCTCAGGACAATTGTCCTGGGTTTTCACTCTACCTGGAGTGAAGTATTCATAAGACCAACTCCCTCTCTTCCTCTAGGTCTTTACTTAAATGTCACCTCATCAGTGACCACTAGATAGCACATACATACATTATAGAGATAAAATAACATTTTTAGCACTCTGCATGTCCTTAAACTATTTTCCTTTTACATTTGCTACCATTTGACATATTCTCTATTTACTTGTTTTTATTATTTTTCCTCCATCAGGCTTTGTGTGCTCATGATTATATCCCCCAGGCCTAGAACAGTGCCAGGCTCATAGCAAGTGCTCTAAATATTTGATGAATTAATACATCATATTGATTATAGATGAGCATGTCACCAGTGGATGAAGAACAACTTTGGCCCAGAGAAGAGGAATATGATCAAGAATGTGGTTCTGGGCTAGACTACCTGGGTTTGAATTCCAGCTCTTTCACTTGTCAGCTGTGACCTTGTGATCCAGGTAAGTTTTCTGTGCCTCAGTTCCTTGTCTGTGAAATGAGAAGGATGACACTGGGTGGTGTGAGGAGCACAGAGGACGCTGCATGATGCTGTTGGCTAAGACTTGAGCGCTTGGTAAATGTTAGCAATTTTTTTTATACCTGTAACACCACTTTGGGAGATGTAACTATGTAAAATATGTAAAAAAAATCACACTGAAGATAAAAGAAAATTGAAATGCAGACGAGTATGGGGATTTTTATTGTATTTATAAAGGAAAAAGTAGGTCAGGAATTAAATAGGATTAACTGGGAACCGTTGTGTTTTGGCTGCAGGTAATATAAAACATGGCAGGGTCTTCATCCTTGGGAATTCCTATTGCAAAAAGAAAGAAAAAGCTCAGTGGGGAAGAGAAATAAGGGCGAGTTAGAGCAGGACACCTGGAGCTGGGGTGAAGGACACGCTAGGGCCAGGACTGGCTGGCTGTGTGCCAGGATAGACAACGGGGATGAGGGGATAGATCTCCCGTGTGCCAGCAAATTGAAGCCTAGTCTCAGCCCCAATTCTGCCACCTGGCTCCCCCTGATATCCTGACCCTGTCACTTCCCCTTAAAGAAACTGCCTCAAATCCCCAGACAGGGTTACACGAGGTTATTCTTTCTGGCGCCCACATTCACCACGCCCCATACACTGCTTACCATTTATCATAGATTAAGTCATCCACTGCACAGCACTTGTTTACTTTCTGCCTGCCTCAGTGTGTGATTTCCACCAGAGCAGGGACCCCCAGCCAGAGTCTGGCACCTGCTTGTCGCTGATGACTTTCACAGGGAAGGAGGATGGGTAAGTCCAAACCTGTTACCTTACAGTGTGGTAGGTGGACATAAGTGTGGCGGGTGCAAAAGTGCCATCTGCCAAATCCTTCTGCTTTACACAACCAAGGTATAAAAGCCCATTCTGATTTTATGTTTTCTCAGGCGCACCAGTACAGCCTGGTATCTGCCGCAGCAGAGCTGCAGAGGGAAAAACGGCTGCAGAGGCTTCCGGACCCCTTCCTGCTGCTCTGTGACTAGTTATCTGAAGCCTCTGGCTTTTAACCTGCAGGTACAAAACCTGCATTCTTTTAGTCTTGTCCCCCTTTGGGGTCTCCCTACCCCAGAAGGGCCTGATTGGGGCCATAAAGCAGGATGATGACCTAATCTCAGTGTGAGAGACGCAGGAGAGGTATTATTCTCAGAGACATTATTTTTATAATTCTAGCCTTGGGGACCTCTGAGGTGATCAGCCTACCACCCTCCTTTCAAGAGGAGGAAGCCAGGAAGCTGATTGAAGAACCAGGCCCAGGGCCCCCTAGGTATCCATCCCACCTCCCAGCTTGTTTCTCACCCCTCCTGCAACCTGCTGGTCATGTGTCTGCAGTTGTGGTTGGTGAGATCTCTGGGCACTTGGTGTCTAGTTAGGTTGGGAAGAAGGTGACAGAGCACATGGAAAGCTCTGTTGGGAACTGGATTTGCTAAACAGATTGGTCCAGAAGTGCCAGGAAGCGCCATGTCAGGAAATGCTTGTGCTGTCACAGTTTAAGATTTGGCTCTAAACATAGCAGTCTCTTCAAAGTCATGTCATTTTGGGGAAACTTTGTCTGTGAAATGGAGCTCCATGTGAAGAAGCTCTGGGGAGGTAGAGCAGGTCTGGGGCCTGCTAGTGCCTGACTTAGGACCAGCTGCTTCTCCTTTGGCTCAGTTTTCCTGTTCTGTAAAATGGGAAAACTCATTCCTCGTCTTCCCTGACTCCCAGTGTGAATAAAGTTTGGGGAGATGGAGCACTGGTCTACCGGGTGCTGGGAGGGGCTGGTCTTTCTTTAGTTTTATAATTTTGTGAACCTGGCAAGGGATCCAAGGCATACCTCTCAGATTGTCCATATCAGAAGCCCCTGGGATATTTGTTAAAATTCAGTTACCTGAGCCCCATCCCAGAACTATTAAGTAAGTTACATTTTAGGACACAGATGCTGAGTCTGGGCTTTTGTTACACTATGGATCAGCAACAGATAAGCTGTAGTCTCTGTCACACACTTTCTCCCCAGTTCCTAATGTGTGTAAAGAGGAATCTCATTCCCTTTTCTCTTGGCAGAGCCCCAGGCCTTTGGAGAAGTATTCCTTCTTCAAGTATTCTTTGAGTGGGAACCCAAACACACACACACACACACGCACACACACACACACACGCTTCTACCTGTGTTTCTGCAGCAAGGACACCAGGATGCTATCTAATGCTCTCTGCTCTTGGTCTGCCGACATGCTGTCCACATCTCGGCCAAGCCGTACCTTTGCTCCTTGCTCCTGGTTTCTCTCTCTATTTGATAAGAAAAAGAGAACAGTTGAGGCTGCTATGTGGGTAGGATGCAGAGAGGCCTGGGAAAGCCCAGGGCAAAGGGAGTAGAGCAGGGTGTATCCCTAAGCCTATTCTAATATCAGGTGTAGACTTTTCCACCCAACTGAATTAGACATGGCAACGACTGGGAAGGAAGTACATATACAGTGAGGAGTACAGGCTGCAAAATACATATTTGCAAAATATCTCCTCATGGATTACTTATTCATTACAAAGGGAAAAAATTAACTTTACAGAGGGGAAGACTGGTATGAAACAAATGATCATAGTTACCCTCACCAACAATGGGACAAATTGACATTATGTACCTCCTTAGCAGGACACAACACCACTTCCATGAATGCATGCCCTAAACCTACTTATGAGGAAGCATCAAGCAAATCCAATTTGAGGCACATTCTATAAATAATTGGCCTTTACTAATCAAAGATGTCAATGCCATGAAAGAATAAGGAATTTTTTTTAAGATTTATTTATTTATGCATACAAGAGCTGGGGTGTAGGCCAGAGGTGTGTGTGTGGGGGGATTAGAGGATTCACCAGAGACAGAGTGGGGAGCAGAACAGGCAGATCTACTGAAAGACACTGCTGAGGGGAGCAGCGGGCAAGGCAGGAGAGATCTGCCTCACCATGTGGGTAGCTCCCTGGCCAGGGATTGAACTGATGTTGCAGTGGCTGGCGATAGCTTCATAGAGCTGAGGCTTAACCCTTTGTGCCACCAGGGAACCCCAAGAATAAGGAATTATTTCAGATTAAAAGACACTAAAGATGTGACAAATAATTACAACTCATGGGCCTGGATTGCAATATGGATTTGAAAAAGAAAATTGTTATCAAGAACACGTTGGGACAACTGATGAGATTTGAATGTGGATTCTGAGTGCAAGTTATACTGTGATTATGTAAAAGAATGTCATTTTGTTAGGAATTAGGAGACATATGCAGAAGTACCTATGAGTAAAGGGTCATGATCACTGCAATTTATTTTCAAATGACTCTGCTGAAGAGTAATAATAATAATGTACAGGTGTTTGTATTTGAATATAGACCTATAGCTACAGATAGAGAACAAGCAAATATGATAAAATATTAGGCAATTGTTGAATACAGTGAAAGGTATGTGGAAATCGACTGTAGCTTTCTTGTACATTTGGAATTTTTCAAAATAAAATAAAGATGAAAAATGTGCAGACTGTGAAGTCAGGTGGTCTGGACCCTCACTCTGCCATGTCTGGTGTGTGTTTTCCAAACTATCAGTGGCTCTGTACAATGGGAATGAGAATACCTCTTTGTAGGGTTATGAGAGCAGACAAGAAGTGAAGCATAATGGCTAACACTACCAAGTGCTCTCTATGTGCCCAGCTCTGTGCCAAGTCCATGGAAATATCGCAGCGCAGAGTCTTGGCCTCTGGCATGGAGTTACAATGGGGCGGTAGCGGCCATAGGTGTTGCTACTATTGGAGCCTAGCATAGGGAGAAGCACATATCAATATTTAATAGTTATTATTTAATAGATTATTTAATAGTTAGAGGAAAAGGGAGGTTTGCTATCTGGGTCTTTCCATGGCTATTCCAGAAATGACAGCTGCTGTGCAAGGGAAGATACCAAATGTGTTCCCTCCTAACCCTGATGCATTTGGAAGCACTGAAGCAGGAAGAACTTCTGCTTACCCCTGCTGCCTACTCATGATGTCCTGGAGCAGTTTGCGGGCAGACAATTGTCCAAGCACCTTCCGGTAACTGTTGGTGAAGATGGCATCTGCATACCGTGGCATCCTACATGGAAGGAGTTAGAGGTCACAGGGCAGGTGGTAGGGCCAGATGAGGCTGGGGTGGGGGTTTGCTGCTTGCTGCACTCACTTCGTTGCTCTTTGCCTAGCTCATCCCAAGGGAGGGTGGGACCCCAGCTGAATGACCTCTCTGGAGCTTCGATGTCCCCCTCCCAGAGATGGGCAGTGGGAACTGCCGGAAGAGATAGCTAGGTTGTTGCTGATAGCTTGATTCTGCATCCTTTAAGCTCCCCCACTCACACTCTCAAGCCCTCCCCATGGTATGGATGACTTTGGGACAGGAATCCAGGTCCTGCTGGCAGGACAACTTACCTGAGGGGCAGGGAGAGTGGGGAGCAGTGGGAGCCACTGCTAAGGGTGAGGATCACGAGAAAGAACACCCAGAGTAGCATCCTTTTCCCTGGGGGCTGCACCTGGAAAATGATAGGAGGGGAAAGTCAGGAGGAGGCATAAAACAGGGATGGCCTTTACTGACTGGGCCCAGCTGTGGTCTGACCTTGGTGCAAGCCTTGGTCCTTGTCCTTTGGAAGATGTAGGTTAGGAAAAAGAACCCAGACTCTGAAAGACAGACAGAACTTGACAGACCAGGGGTCAAGTCCGTTACAAGCTCTGACTTCATTTCTCCATCTGTGAAATGGACATGATAAAGTTACCCTGCTGATCTCATAGGGTTGAACAGAAAACTAAGGATAATGGTGAAGCTTCTCCTTCCTATAGGGCATTGCATATGGAAATCAGGCCTCAGCAAGGGATGGGCTAAGCAAGCATCTTTCCTTTGCCCTAAGTCACCGCTATCCAGTGTGGTACCTAGTGAGTGGACTTAATAGCTTAGGCTCTTTGTCAGACAAATTTGAGTTCATATCTTGGCTCAGATTTGTGTGTCCCAGGACAGTGACTTCTCCTTTCTGAGCCTCAGTTTCCCCATTCATAAAATGGTGTCTTATTAACTATGCCTACTACATTGGGTCTTTTCTTTTTTTTTTAAGATTTATTTATTTATGCATACAAGATATGGGGTACAGGCCAGAGATGCAGGGGGTGGGGTGTCTGTGTGAGAGGACAGAGTGGGGAACAGAACAGGCAGACTGACTGAAATACACTGCTGAGGGAAGCAGTGGGCGAGATAGGAGCGGTCTGCTTCGCTTTGTGGGTTGCTCCCTGGCTGGCTGAGGATCAGACTCGTGTTGCAGAGGCTGCGGATTGCTTCATAGTGCGGTGTTTAACCCCTTGTACCACCAGGGAGGCTCCTGTGTTAGGTGTTGTGAACGGTAGATGAGAAGAGATAACTGAAGTGAGTAGGTTGGCATGTAGGGAATTCTCCATAAGTCTTTGCTGTGATTATCTAATATTAGACTGACTCAAAGGGCAGGCTTGCCCTATTTTTATTTTGTAGGAAGTTGGAAAGAAGAAATAGCTATAAATCTTGCTCTAGATGCTTAGATTTTGCCAGTAAGAGACCCAGGAACCTGAGGAGCCAGTGTAGTAGGATCATCCCAGGGATCACCTAATTACCCTTAATTGGGGCTGCTTACATGGTGCTCTACAATTAAGGGAAGAACAGTCAGCGGGGAGAAGAACCCAGCTCCACCAGAGCTGTCAACAGAGACCTGCCTAGGGTGGAAACGGCTGCTGGCCAGGGATGAATCGGCCACCTAGGAGCTGGGTCTTCCCATTCCCCATCAGCGGGATAGACACTCCATGGGGGTGCAGACCCATCCAGAGCCCCAGCCAGCCCCCAAAAGGCAGAACCTGTGATCGCCCCACGTCCTCCTGTCCTCCTTGGTCCTGCTGAGGAGTGATTTCCATCAGGCAGGGCCAGCACTGGTGGAATCCACTTTCTTTTCGGGGCTCACTTGCCCTCAAAGGATATCATACCCCTCCCCACAGGCCCTGGGGTCTTGACTAACCCAGGGAGTGCCCTGATCCCCAGGGGAACTCCCATGGGGACTCCTTTGCACAGCCCAAGTCCCCCAATCCTCCAGAGCTGCCCTAAGTCAACCCCTCCTTGAGGTATACCCTCTCCCTTCCCAAACCCTATAGAAAATCCTCCAGTTCCTACTCAAACGCTTGCTGCCTGTGGGTGACAGGCAGCTCACTACCTCAAAGCCAGTCTGTCTTATTCGATAGGAGTTTTGCTCATCACATCCTGCAAATACTTATTTAGCTTCTACTATTCTGGTAAGGACTGGGCCAGAGAAAGATGAGAGCATGGTATCTGCCCCTACTGCTCTGCCTTTGACATCCACCTACTGTGCCACCCAGAGTTTCTGTACCTCTGTCCACATGACAAGCCCTTTTAGATGCATTAGACCAAATCTCCGCAGACCATGGCTCTTCAGTCTCCTGTCCTCATCACACCATCTCACATCTGGTTCCCCTTCAACCAGTCTGATCCAGGCTGACTCTCTGGCAGTGAGATTTCCTAGCAGGGAGATCTTTGGAGCAAGACCAGCCCCTTGATACAACCACTACTTTTTCTATATCCCTGCTGCAGCCCGGGTTTTCTTGGTTTCTTTGCTGCTCATCTTTTAAAGACCTGGGCACTTTCCAGCCACTCTTTCATCTCATTCTCCTGCTCAGAAGCCCTGGGCCTCCTACTCCCTCCAGAGCAAACACAAACCCCTGCTCTTGGCCTACACTTGCCCTAGGCCTCCTCACCTCCTGCCCCTTCCCTCAGGGCTGGAACAAGTAATTCCCAAAAGGCCCCTGCTTTTCTGGCTCCTACAATTCACCCTCAGACTTGCCCTCTAGAGCAGGTATCACGATCTGCATTTTACAGGCGAAGAATGAGCCCAGACAGGAGAGGAGCCCTTTTCTATGGTTCTCCATCAAATTCATTTGGGAGTGGGCACTTCAGAAGGGACCTCCCAGGCAGCAGACGGCCCCCTGGGCACAGCAACCTCCCTATACAATACCCCATTCACCAGCTCCCTATTCATGGGGTGTTTCAGAATTCATCACCTGCACATGGGAAACGATTCTGAAAAAGAACTGAAAGCTTTTGCACTTTGTCTTTGGGTCTTTGGGGAAAGAAAAAGGGGGACAAACAGGAACACCTGTTTGGTTGGTGCATCCCTGTGCACATCTGGTTGTTTAAGGAGTTGAAAATAACATGATAGGGCCTCCCTGGTGGTGCAAGGGGTTAAGCACCACACTGTAAAGGAATCCACAGCCTCTGCAGCATGAGTTCGATCCCCAGCCAGCCAGGGAGCAACCCACATGGTGCAGCAGACCTCTCCTGTTTCGCCCGCTGCTCCCCTCAGTGTATTTCATCAGTCTGCCTGTTCTGTTCCCCACCCTGTCTCTGGCGAATCCTCTCACCTCCCCCCCCCACGTCTCTATACCCCAGCTCTGTACCCCCAGCCTGTACCCCAGCTCTTGTATGCATAAATAAATAAATAAATCTTTTAAAAAAAAAGAAAATAATATGATAGAAGGGAAGACTTGGATGGCAGGGCAGGGGCAGTCACAATAAATAGATACGCCCCCCCCCCCTTTTGGAATAATGCCAAGCAACTGCATTATCTGGTAAACCAAGAGGCCCTATATTTGCCATAACCTTGTGACCCAGAGATAGGTCATAGCCATTGCAATATCTTGGCTATGAGAACTTAATCCATGAGGTCGCAAACTCCAACTGGACAAAAAGATAGGAAACAACAAGAATCATCCATCTTATGGCATGATAAGACTAGAAGTTGTGTCACCACAGACAAAAGAGCTGTTGACAGACTTGGGCCACACGACCAGTCAAAGGAGGTAGTATTGACTGAATTAAGTGTAGTCTAAATCCATCTCACCATCGGCTACACTTTGAAGGCTCCGTAGTCATTTTAGGGTTAATTATCTATCTTTACCAGTATCAGTTAGCTTTCTGCAGTGCTTACAAATGATTTCTGTGATCAGATGTATTTGAAGTCATCTGGATTCTGGATAAACAGGCACTTGATTTACGCCAGTTGGTATTTTTGCCAGTCTTACAGTCAAGAATGATAATCCTGTGGGTGTGCCTTCAGCTAAAAAGAGGTTAGGTCTCAAGCACCAAAACTAGCAAGGCTACTTTTGAACACCTAGGAAAAAACTTACCTTTCTTAAATGTTCTGCTTTGTAATTTAAGAGCCCTGAAACATTAGCATCCTGATTCATTTATAAATTGTTTCACCAATAGTGTTTCAGGTTGAAAGAGATCTAAGTTTTTAACGAAGAAGCATCTTGAATTGTCATTTAAAGGAATGACACCCCACCTCCTTCCAGAAAGGATTTGAGGCAGCTTACAGGGGAAAGACACAAATACTTCAGGATCATTGAAACAAGGATCAAGAGGCAAGCATGGAGGTAATGGAGCGCTCCAAAGAGAGATAATTGTGTCGGAAACCTGGAATAAGAAGCGCGGCTGCAATTGAGCAAGAAAGCAAAATGTTATCAATTTTCAGGCAATTATGTTGAATCGGTTCTGAGCAATCAATGAGCGGTATTGATTTGCACAGTTACTTGGCTCCTTTCCGATCCATGGCAGAATCCCATTGTTGACAGGAGACTCTAGTAGGCTTATGTCTTTCCCCGGAAACCTGCCTGCACACCCTCGAAGGAGGATTTAGACCTCATCTGCCTCCAACAGACACCTGTGGGCCCACCACTTCTGCATGGGCTGAGGACAACCTCAAAATTGTGCCAACCGTCAAAAGCACATTCCAGAGCCTCTCAGGGGGCCCAAATGTACTCACCAGTCCTTGGGCAAAGAGGATTGTGTTGAGTCTCTTGATCTTGGTGTCTCTGAGTGGGTGAGAAGGTCAACTTTCTGGCCCCCATCCCACCTAGCCCCCAAGGACACCCCTCTCACCTCTGATGTGGTCGACCTCTCTCTGCTGTAAGGCGCTGCTCCAGTTCCACAGACACCCGGTCGCTCCAGCGGCTGCGTGACTCTCCAATCATTTATACCTTCATTTTCCTAAGCGTTGTCAGCGTCAGAGAATCAATTACCCACAAGTCAACCAAAGGACCATTTTTAGCATCACGCTGACAAAATCTAATAGGGGAAATTTGCCCCTTGCAAATTAAGATGTGTATTGAACTTTCCCTTTATCTTTGAGGGAAGGAATGGAGCTCAAAGTTATAACATAATTCCAAGAGGAAGAGCGACTATAATCCAGCTACGCTAATCCTGGGAGGACTCCTAACAGGGAAACACCAAGGGTTCATTTACTCCCTGGCATAAATGTGCCTTTTAGCAAAGTTCATATAATTTTGTTTTGTCCACATGCAACTTTATTTCATTTTTGGGTAGCCAGTTCAGGAAAGTGTTTTGCTGTTCTTAGTGAGGAAAGTTGTTCGCCAGCTCCCTTGTCTTCCAATTATCAAGACCTTCCTCTCTCCAATTTGTGCCTGCTGGGGA